TCTCTCTCTCTCTCTCTCTCTCTCTCTCTCTCTCTCTCTCTCTCTCTAGCTAGATAGATAGATAGATAGATAGATAGATAGATATAGATATAGATATAGATATAGATATAGATATAGATATAGATATAGATATAGATATATCTTTAACTACCTTTGTACTAGGTAGTCCTTGACTTGCCACCACAGCCTAGCCCAACATTTCCGTTGCTAAGCAAGGTGGTTGTTAAGTGAGTTGTGCCCTCCTTTTATGACCTTTCTTTGCCACAATTGTTAAGCGAATCGCTGTGTTTGTTAAGTGAATCATGTGTTCGTTAAAGCAAATCTGGCTTCTCCCATTGACTTTTGCCTGTTGTGAAGCCGACCGGGAAGGTCGCAAATGGACACATTGCACAACCTGGGCACAGCGCAAACACCCCGCCCCCTAATTTTGATCACATGACCATGGGGATGCTGAAACAGTCATAAGTGTGAAAACTGGCCATTAAATCACTTTTTTCAGTGCCGTTATAACTTCGAACGATCACTAAACGAATGGTTGTAAGTCCAGGACTCCCTGTGATGTACTTATTTTCTCCTCGTTGTTTGGGCTCTGCCAGGCCTCGGTGGCAGCAGACTGAGAATATTTTAGCAATTCGTCTGGTGGGGTTATTTTTCTTGGCCTAGCTTGACTGATTCAAGTCACACTGGATGGTTTTTATGGCCTTCCTTTTCTCTCTCTCTCTCTCACCCTGGTTGGGGAGGCATAGTTCTTGACTGAGGCAGCCTGGTCTTCCATCCAGAAAGTCATTTGTTGACTGTTGAAGCCAGGGTCAATTGGGCCTCCAGACAAATTCCTACCACCCCCTTGAAATGAAATGTGAGGCATATTTTCAAGACAGTCTTTTTCCTCTCAAGTGAAACCTTTGTAGGAGTTGTGAAATTAAAGGAATTTGGAATCATCCTTAGCAAAGTATCTCAGGGGTTGGAGGAGGTTATGGTGGGTTTCAATTAAAGCAAAATGCGAGCTGTGTTTGGATAGCCTCCTTGGATCCCTACAGTAGGGATCTCCAAATATAAGACTTGTGGACTTCAACCCCCAGAATTCCTCAGCCAGCCATGCTGCCTGGGGAATTCTGGGAGCTGAAATCCACAAATCTCAAGGTGGCCACGTTTGGAGCCCCTGATCTACAGGTAGCCTTTGACTTACAACCATGCTGACTGGGGAACTCTGGAAGTTGAAGTCCACAAGTCTCAAGTTTGCCAATTTTGGAGCCTCTGATCTACAAGTAGCTTTTGATTTACTACCACAATTGGGACCAGAACTTCAGCCACTAATCAAAACAGTTCTTAATTAAGGCGTACCCAATTTCAGGAGCTTTTTTTTGCTGTGGTCATTAAGTGAATCTCATGGTTGCTAAATGAATTTGGCTTCTCCCATTGACTCCCCGTAAATATGAGCCAGTTGCCAAGCATCTGAATTTTGATCATGTGACCATGAGGATGCTGCAATGGTCGTAAGTATGAAAAACGGCCATAAGTCAGTTTTTTCAGTGCCGTTGTAACTTCGAACAGTCACTATATGAACCATTGTAAGTAGAGGTCAACATGTAAACAGGGCAAAGATGACACTGCACAGTTGTCTGTATGATCTAAAGGACCATGGGCATGCTCCGAATATATGGGGTGAAAAGAGCAAATACTTGCTGATTAAAAAAAGTTTGGATCTTGCTACTCTGCATTAACAAGAGGGGCACAAGATGGGTAATATTGTTTTATTTTTATATTTATTTATTTATTTGTTTGTTTGTTTGTTTATTTGTTATATGGTATATTCACATCAGTAAAAAGGAACATGGGGTAAAAGAGAAAGCACAGAATATAAAATCTGAAATCTTAACAGGAGGATTACAAAGAGATATCTAAGTTACAAACATAATTTTTTACGTCATTTGTTGCAGCCAGGAAATCAGCAAAATCTCCATTATGGGCTCTGCTTTGGCACTTTGTTACTGTGGGTTGATAATATTGCACTGTTGATGGCCCATTTCTGAATTCTGACTTGTTTGTTCTTCCTTGACAGATTACAGTTTCTGGCGGTGGGCTCCCCCCGGTCAGTACTCTCACCAATATCCACAGCTTTTCCCATCACACCCCACAACAATCCCAGAACCTCATTATGACACCTTTATCAGGAGTCATGGCTATCACACAAAGTAAGTGCTTTATGAGTTAGACAAATGTCTTCTTGTTCTTAGAATTATTCATGATTACCTGTTTCCTTGTATAGCACCATCAGGAAGCAAGGAGCTTTACAGAGTCCAAAAGGGCAGGATCCTGTCTGAAAGACTTTGCAGAACATTTACTATCTCTTCCTTTCTTCTTTCTGCAATTGTCACTGCCTATTGTAGCAACAACACTGGTTTCCATTGGAGTTAATCTCCATTTGCTCAGTAAATATTAAGAGAGAAATATTGATTTTGGTGCACTGTGAGAAAAGAGGGAAATTAAAAAAAATGAATCAGTGATGAGATCCAAAGAGGCGAAAGAAAGAAAGAGAGAGAGAGAGACAGACAGAGAGAGAGAGAGAGAGAGAAAGAAAGAAAGAGTCATCCTTGAGCCGGTGAGATTCGAACTGCCAAACTGCTGGTAGCCGGCAGTCAGCAGAAATAGCCTGCAGTACTGCATTCTAGCCACTGTACCACCAAGGCTCTCCCGCCATTTGTAGGGTAGGTTGTTCTCGATTAGTGACCACAATTGGGATTAGCAATTCCATTGCTAAACCATAGAGTCCTTAAGCAAGATGTCATGTGACTAGAATGGGCTCACAACCTTCCTTTCACCACAGTTGCTAAGCGAATCACCCACGGTTGTTAAGCAAAACATTATGTGACTGTGAGTTGCTACTTCCCACAGGCTTCCCCACTGACTTTGCTTGTCAGAAGCCGGTTGTGTGAAGATGAGAAACCATGATCCCAGGACCACGGGGTTGCTGCGATGGTTGTAAATGTGAGGACAGTTACTTTTTCAGTGCTGTCCTAACTTCAAAGAGGGCTCTCGTGAAAAGTGTCATGCCATTGTTCAAAAACAATGCATGCGAGATTGTCTTTTCATTGTCTTTAGCCAGAAGCAACCAAACATTTTTAACAAACACCTTTAACACACATCTGATATGAACAAAAAGACAAGCACAGTCCAATTAAAAAATAAAGCCCTGGAAAATCAGGTTGAGTTGAGTTGAGAAATTATAGAATGACGGTGGGTGTTACAGGGTGTTATAAAATCTGAAGACTTTGGAGCTTTATAATCAAACACCTCTACTTGTCTCTCTGTCTTTCAGGCCTAAACAGTTCGCAGGCCCAGAGTGTCCCCGTTATCAACAGCATAGCCCTACAACCGGTCCAGTTCTCCCAACAGCTGCACAGCCCACACCAGCAGTCAATCATGCAGCAGTCGACCAATCCGATGGCTCAACAGCCATTCATGGCGTCAGTGACACAGCTGCAGAATTCACACAGTAAGATTCTTTTGGGGGTATTGGCTGAAATAGAAGGCCAGAAGCTGGGAGAAGCAAGAGTAACAGAAGCCATAAGCACAGCAAGATGTTTGCTTCTGTGTCAATCAGGAGGGTAGCCACAACTGTGTAACCCAAACCCCATCTATTTTTCTCATGTACTTGTCTCCAGAGGTTGTGAGTGCTCCAACACTGGAGATTTTCAAAAAGAGATTGGTAACTATTTGTCTGAAATGGTACAGGGTTGAGCAGGGGGTTGGACTAGAAGACCTCCAAGGTCCCTTCCAACTCTATTATTCTATCAATAGTCCTTTTTCTCATGTACAGGGAGTGTTGAGTTTAAGTGCTTTTTTGAAACAGATCTATTTGTAAGAAAAAAGACTGTTTGTAATCCAGCATTTTGTAATGCTTTTAGTTCCTCATAATTCCTTCTTTATCAAGAGAAACAAAGAATTTTCCAGTTGGCAAAGTATTATTGAGTATTTTAGTTACACACGATGGTATACATGATGTCTTAGGGAGTTAGGTAGGTAAAATTAAACAGCATAAGTTAAATCCTAGCAGTGGGGCAAGAATATGGAGAGATACACATGGCAGGAAATAGCAATTTCCTTCAACCTAGATTGTATCTCTGAATACAGCCAACTGGATTCTTTTGAGATGGGGATCAGAGGTTGTATTCAGCAGGTTCTGACCAGTTCTGGAGAACCAGTAGCGGAAATTTCAAATAGTTCGGAGAACCTGCAAATGCCACCTCTGGCTGGAGATTTTATAGTATCCTTCGCCTGCCACGCCCACCAAGCCACTCCCACAGAACTGGTAGTTTTAAGAAAATTGAATCCCACCACTGATGGGGATGGGAGTTGTAGTTCAAAGTATCTGTACAGGAAGGGCCCGATGAAGGCCAGATCAGAGTAGTGAATCTAGAAGACCCAGATTCCAAGCCTTTCCTAGCCCCCAAGTTTACAAAAAACTGTTTCAGAACAACCCCTGTTTCTAAGCATAACCAACATCAGAAGTTAGTTGCAAAGGAGTGTGGCAATATCAAGGACACCAACCTGGATTGTTGGAGAGGACGTGATGTCCTCAGAATAACAGGGTGGGAAAGAATCTTGGAGGTTTTTTAGTCCAACATCCTGCTCAAGCAGGTAACTCCTATTTCATTTCAGACAAATAGTTATCCAATCTCTTCTTAAAAACATCCAGTGTTGGAGCATTTACAATTTCTGGAGGCAAGTCATTCCACTGATTAATTGCTCTCATTGTCAGGAAATTCCTCCTTAGTTCTAGGTTGCTTCTCCCCTTGATTAGTTTCCATCCTTTGCTTCTTGTCCTGCCTTCAGGTGCTTTGGAAAATAGGTTGTCTCTCTCTCTTCTTTGAGGCAACATCCTAGATATTGGAAAACTGCCATCATGTCTCCCCTTGTCCTTCTTTTCATTAAATCAAATTCCTGCATATGCTTTAGCCTTAATAAAAGTTGTTTTATTCTTGATCTGAGCCTGGTTCTAGCTTAGCTCTTTTACTACCATGAAGGACTCTGAGGTTGGACTTAAAATTACAGAATTATAGAATTGTAAGGGACATTTGAGGTCTTCTAGTTCACTCCCTGCCCAGATAGAAATCCCTAAGTGAAAAGGAAGGAAAAGTTCCTTAGGACACCCAGCATTTAATGGGCAGGGGTCACCAAATTTGTCAACTTTATGACCTGTGAACTTCAACTTCCACGCTGGCTGAGGAATTCCAGAAATTGAAGTTCATCAATCTTAAAAGTTGACAAGTTTGGAGAATCCTGGATTAGGAAATCAATTTTCACAGTCCCATTTATGTTTTATTCTAATTAACATATGTTGAGACTTTCAAAAGCTGCTGATTTATCCCTTGAAGGTTATAGCAACTTGGTTCTGTTCGGAATAAAATATTTGGTGGGAGAGCAATTTATGACTGTAGTCTAAAATCTTTGTCATTCTTTTTATCCCTCTGATTTTGTCTCTTATCACTCTTTTTCACACACAAAAACACACACACACACACAAGAATAACTGTTGGCCTTTTCCCACAGTGTACACACACAAGCAAGAACCTCCTCAGTATTCTCACACATCACGGTTCCCTTCAGCGATGGTGGTCACGGATACCAGCAGCCTCAATTCACTAACCAACATGTCTTCCAATAAACAGGTAAACAGATGTAATGTTATTGGGGAAAATTAATACAAGCCGTCCTCAACTTATGACCACAATTTGGATCAGAATTTCAGCTGCTAAGCAAAACGGTTGTTGTATGAAGAAATGCCAAACACCCAGATTTTGATCATGGGGATGCTGCGACATTTGTAAATGCAAGGACCGGTTGTAGGGGGAATTTGGGTTGATCAAATGGCTGTCTCATGATTGTGACGGCATAGGACCATAATGGGCAGGCCCCATTATGGCCATATATTAAGGAATATTTGTATGGTGGAGTTCAAGAGTTAAGGCACTCAGTGGATGTCAGTGGATGAATAACAAAATAACAGAGTTGCAAGGGATCTTGGAGGTCTTCTAGTCCAACCCTTTGCTCAAGCAGGAGACCCTATAATTTCACACAAGTAATTGTCGAGTCTCTTCTTAAAAACCTCCAGTGATGGAGCACCCACAACTTCTGAAGACAAGTCGTTCCACTGATTAATTGTTCTGTCTCCTTAGTTCTAAATTGTGTCTCTCCTTGATTAGTTTCCATCCATTGCTTCTTGTCTTGTCTTCAGGTGCTTTGGAGGATAGATTATACTTTGTGGCAGCCCTTTAAATATTGGAAGACTGCCATCATGTCACCCTTAGTTCTTCTTTTCCCCAAACTAGAGATACCCATTTCCTGCAACCCTTCTTTGTATGTTTTAGCTTCTAATCTCCTAACCATCTTTGTTGCTCTTCGCTGCACTCTTTCTAGAATCTCAACAACTGAATAAGGGAGTGCAAATTACACAGGATGTCACACTAGACACAAGTTGTTTTTAGCTAAAAGTGAGAAGAACCAGAAAAACCCAGCGAGGTGCTGTGGTGAGGGTTGCTGGATTAGAAACCAGGAGACAGTGAGTTCTAGTTCCAGCTTAGGCCCGAAAGCTGACTTTGAACAAGTTGTTCTCTCTCAGCCCAACTCACCTCACAGGGTTACTGTTGTAGAGAAAACAGGAGCCACCATTATTATCTAGGCTGTCTTCACAGTACAAAGTAAAAGTGGGATATAAATCTAATATAATGAAAGAATCCAAAAAAGTGGATCTTTCAGAGGGATTGATCCTAAACAGTTATATTTTTTCCTCAGGAATTGGTTAGAAGATGAAATTAGCTAACTTTACACAAAGTAAAAAAAAAAAAAAACACCACATGAAGACATCCTGGTTTTTACACTTCTTGATACTTTAGCGTCTCTATGAAAAATAAACCAAGAGTCCTATTATGTAAACCTGTCCGCTCCTTTTTTTATGATGAAAAATCGTCCCAGAGCAGACAAAAAAGTCTCTTTTCTTCCTGTCTTTCATTTTTTCAAAGGCAGCTTTGCAGACTGTGGGAAATATGTGGCCTCTATCGATTGTTAGATAGTTCGAAGAGAAAACCTTGAACTTCTCAACAGATAAGCTGGCATGTGGGTTTTTTCCCCCCCTTGGAGAAACTTGTGCCAAAAATCATAATAATGGGGTGTGTTCACCAACGATTGGAATGCACATTTGAATTCTGAGGCAAGTAGTTCTCAACATATGAGCAGAATGGAGACCAACGTTTCTGTTGTTAAGTGAGTTTTAGGACCTTTCTTGCCACTGTTGTTAAGTGAATCACTGCGGTTGTAAAGTTAACAACATGGTTGTAAAGTGAATCCGGCTTTCCAATTGACTTTGTTTGTCAGAAGGTCACAAGAGGGGATCGCATGACTCCGGGACACTCCCATCATCATAAATATGAGTCAGTTGCCAAACTTCTCCATTTTGATCCTGGGGATGCTGCAAGTAAGTATGAAAACTGATCATGTCACTTTTTTCAGGGCTGTTGTAATTTTAAATGGTCACTAAACGAATGGTTGTAAATTGAGGACTGTACAAGCCTGATGCTTCCTGACAAGGGTTAAAAATTCAGGACGCCTTTGTGGACCCATCAAAACTATGCTCTGCGCGAGTGACAGGAGGTTTCAAATCAATATTTTCTAAAGCCATTATAGCCAGGCACAGTATACAGATAGTCCTCAGTTTACAACCAATTACACTTAGTGACTGATCGAAGTTACAATGGCACTGAAAAACATGACTTACTGGTCCTCCTACATGGGACCATTGCAGCATCCTCACCATTGTCCCATGATCAAAACTTGGATGCTTGGCAACCAGTGTGAATTTAAAACATTTGCAGTGTCATGGGGTCCTATGAATACCATTGGCGACCTTCCCAGCTGGCTTCCAACAAGCAAAATCACAACTTAAGAACCTAACTGCCAGGCTCAATTACAGCCATAAATTAAGCACTACATATATATTAATCCACAATAGAGACAATCGATGTTTCTGAAAAAAATCTCAAGAGCTTTGGCCACAGTGGTGTAACTGAACCTCTGCTCATTTTTATTTTTAATTTTTAGTTAAATTCATTTATATTATAAAGCAGTGCCCTGCGAGTCTTGATTGGGTTATAGAATAACAGAGTTGGAAGGGACCTTGGAGGTCTTCTAGTTCAACCCCCTGCTCAGGCAGGAAACCCTATATACCTGTGATGGCAAACCAATGGCACGTGTGCCTGAGGCATGCCGGCCAGCTGGTCTTGGTGCGCAGGAGTGCCAGAGATGGGAAGAGCAGCTCCCCAGTGTGCATGCGCATGCCAGAAAGCTGAGCTTCTAGTTTCTGGTGTGCGTATGCGCGCCGGCCAGCTGGTCTTTGCATGCACATGCATGCCAAAAACCGGAAGACCAGGTGGCCAGCACGCATGCACACGCCAGAAACAGGAAGCTCAGCTTCCTGGTGCACGCATGCCTGCCGGGGAGCTGTTCTTTTGGTTTCCAAAGCTCCCCCGCACACACACACCGGGGAGCTGCACTTCCGGTTCGCCAACACTGCTATATACAGACAAATGATTTTCCAACCTCTTTTCTAAAACTTCCAGTGTTTCTTCCTTGCCGAAGGAAGCAACACACACATTAACAACAACAACAACAACACACAAGTAGAGGATCAGTTTCAGCACTGTGGCCCATGCTCCTCAGAATTTTTTTTTCAAAAACATGGATTTTCTCTATCCTGGCTAATTTTGGTTATCTGGACATCCTGTCTCTTCCAGGAGTTGGGAGAGTAGAAATGTGACTTGAGAAGAAAAATTGAACACATTCTGTATGTTCAAAAAGCCAAAATCTCTTCCCAAGGCTTCCCAATTCCCACTGGGGTATTTTTTTGGACATGGATATATATAAAAGAGAATATTTGTAGTTCAGGGTTGAACTAAGGGGGTCATTTAGCTCTGATGGTATTACCTAGTTTGGCAATGAAACATCTGCAAGAAAACCACCAAGCTCAGAGAGCCCAAGGACCCCACAGAATGCGGATGTGAAGAGAGATTTTTTTAAAATACCCATTTGGAGTCGTGGTTTTAGGCACCAGTCTAGAATCTGATTAACAGATTAATAGAGTTGGAAGGGACCCTCACCAAGCAGTCCCTACACCATTGTTGAAAGATGACAGTCCAGTCTCTTCTTGAAAGCTTCCATTGATGAAGCTCCCCCACCTGAAAAGAAATCTGTTCCAAATGCAAAACACAAGCAGAGGAGATTCAATTTTTATTTTCACAGCACCAAGCAGCTTTAGTACAGAACAGTTGAGCTAAGTCACGCCCAGGCTCCTTGCTGTCTCCTTCTTGCTCGCACAGCAAATACTGCTTCAGTTTCCATGTTTCAGTTTCTAAACAACCCTCAACTCTCTCACACACTGACAGGGTCGCTAGCCAGATAAATATCGATGGATGCTGGTAGGCAGCAGCACAATTCCCCCCCCCTTATTTTCCTCCCCCAAAACTAAGCCCGATCACATAGTTTCATAGCGAAGCACAGGTATAGAGCCAGTATCCAATATTTCCACCCGAAAGATGGAGCAGTAGGAACCTCTAACCCGCCTTTCTCCATCAGTCAGGCAATCACGCGGATCCAGTCTCCAAGAGGAGACAATTTCCTTAGAAGGCCTTGCTGATTCATCTAGCATGCACTCAACCCTAACTTTGCCCTTGATAGATGATTCTCTCTGGACCCGCCCATTAACTTTGAGGCTGGCTTGTTCAAACAAGCCTGCCTGGATCCAGGAAGCCATTTCCTTCATCAAAACCTTAGCAAGACACGACTTGTTGGGCCTTTGCTGGTGATCCTGAGAAGCAGGGAAGAAAATTCAGCTTCCTAGCTTTAAAAGAAAAAGGTTGCCAGCTGTCATCTTGACGTCGGTCAACATTTGGGCATTTCTGCTTTGATTTTCCCCAGATAGACTTCCTGTCAGCTCAGAGCTAAATCTCGGCACGCAGGGTTTACAAGCTTAAAAAACAACAAAAAACAACAACAACACAACATGGAACCGAAAGAGGAAGAGGGAAGAAGAAGCAAATTCTTGTATTGCAGACAGTCCTTGACTTACAGCCGTTCATTTAGTGACCGTTGGAAGTCACAAAAGCATCGGAAAAAAGTGACACGATGATCGTTTTTCACACCAAGGACCATGGCAGCTTCCCCGTGGCCATGGGATCAAAACTCAGACCTTGGCCACTGGCTCCGTATTTATAACGGTCGTAACGTCCCAGCACCCTTTTGCAAACTCCTGACAAGCAAAGCCAACTGGGAAGCCTGATCCACTTAGCAACTGGGTTGCTAACTTAATAATTGCAAAATTCACTTAACAACTGTGGCAAGAAAGATCGTAAAATGGGACAAAAATCGTTTAATCACTGTCTTGCTTAACGTTGGTCTCACTTATGGTCGTAAGTCAAAGGACTATTTGCAGTATCCCAGGGTCACATGATCACTGTTTACAACCTTCCGGGAGAGGGGAGCCTAATTCATTTAACCACCACATGATTCACTTAACAAATGCAGTGTTTTGCTTAACAGCCATCATAAAATGGGTCAAAGTTCACTTGATAACTGTCTTGCTTAGCAGTGGAACTTAATGATGGTTATAAGTTGAGGACGATCTGTATTATGTTTGATCTTATATTTCAGTTGTGTTTCCCGGCTCAAGAGGATAGGAACCGGGTCAATTCAGAGAATGTTTAATGAGTTACAAGCATCCCCAAAGGCCTCAGTCTGTCCATCTTCAAATCAATCATTCAGAATCAATCAGAATAGAGCTGGAAGGGACCTTGAAGGTCTTCTAGTCCACCCCCTGCTCAAACAGGGAGATTCTATATACCATTTCAGACAAGTGGCTGTTCAGTCTCTTCTTAAAAACCTCCAGTGTTGGAGCTCCAGTGGTGGTATGCTACCGGTTTGGACCGGTTCACTCGAACCGGTAGTAAAAAAAAAAAAAGCCGTCGATCAGCTGAGAGGAAAAGGAAGAGAAAAGTGCAGGATCGGCCCTCCCACCCACCCCTGCGCTTTCCTCTTCTTTATCCTCTCAGTTGATTGGCGCTGGAGGTCTCAGCTGGTGTGGGGAAAGCTGCGCACCAGCATCAGGCAAAGCACGCCCACCAAGCCATGCCCACCGAATCGGTGGTAAAACAACTTGAATCCCATCGCTGTGGTGCTCCCACAACTTCTGGTGGCCAGCGGTCCCACTGGTTAATTGTCCTCACCATTAGGAAGTCTCTCCTTAATTCCAGGCTGCTTCTCTCCATGATTCAAGCTATTTTCTAAAGTGCCTGTAGGCCAGACAAGGAATAATGGATGGAAACTGAACAAGGAGAGATTCAACCTGGAAATAAGGAGAAACTTTCTGACAGTGAGAACAATCAACCCATGGAACAGCAGTTGCCCTCGGAAGTTGTAGGTGTGTCATCACCTGAGACCTTCAAGAAGAGATTGGACTGCCATTTGTCAGAAATGGTGTAGGGTCTCCTGCTTGGGCAGGGGGTTGGACTAGATGACCTACAAGGTCCCTTCCAACTCTGATTATCTGTTATCTGATTCGTTGGATTAGATTCTGGCCCGATCTAAGACCCTTCCTCACATTCTAATCTCTGTTAACCTTCTTTTTCTTTTCCTCCCAGTGTCCATTACAAGCCTGGTGATACTCCACCCCGTTCTCTGTGCCTTTAGCAACTGGAAATTATTTTTCCACAACGTCCTGCCTTGGCCACAATGAGATCTGGCGGAAGGTGGCAGCAAAGCCCGAAGAGCTTGCATAGCTCGATCCCGCTCAGCCTGGAAAGAAGATTGGAAGTTTCTGTGCTACTGTGGCTTTCTTCAAAGGATCCGGAACGGTGTCTGCCAGACCAAGCATTTCCCATGCTGTTTGCCAAAGACTTACTGCCTCCAGGATGCCAAAATATTTTTTCCTTCTGGAGGATATTTGTTTCTTACCAACACCAGAACAAAACGAGAAGCTTGGCAAAGAACCTAAAGCTGGAGATCAAGCGTATTTATAAAGTGACACACTTCTACTGGAGAGGACCAAAGAGAGGACTCGGGGCTGTTACGTCAGGTTGCAAAGGAAGAACCAACTGTGATGTTGAACTGAACCAATTAAACTGTATATATGAGGAGCTCGGTATTCCAGATCTCCTCCCCCCTCCCTCACACCTATCTGCAGAGATTTATATTAAAGAAAAGTTAATGTTGTCTATCAAATGGATGTATTAAGAAATTAAGTGCAATGCCTCCCCCTTCACTTGTACATAGGATCACAAAATCTCCTGTCACAGGGGTCTCTAACCTTGGCAACTTCAAGAGTTGTGGACTTCAACTCCCAGAATTCCTCAGGCAGCAAAGCTTCTGGGAGTTGAATTCTGGGAGTTGAAGTCTACAAGTCTTAAAGCAAAGCTGGCTGAGGAATTCTGGGAGTTGAAGTCCACAAGTCTTAAAAGTTGCCAAGGTTGGAGACTCCTGTCCTATCATGTCTCTCTTCATTTTTTTTTTTTTTGTACGGAGGTGGTTTACGTTGCAACGTTTTGGATTGGCAAATCAGAAGAGCGAAAGGGAAAAAAATATTTTGGCAAAGCAACATTGATTTATTGGTGTGTCCATCGGCCCTTTTTTGAAGTTTCGGGCTGGCTGATTTCAAAAAGGGGACAGGAAGCAGAATTTGGATGTTTGGAAAGAAAGCCATTAAGTTTTTAATGGCTGCACCCTTGATAGAATTTTAATCCATTTTGGGGGCGTGCGTAACAGAAGCTAGGAGAGTTGATATAGCTAGTCCTCAAGTGATGACCACCTTTGGAACCAGAGTTTCTGTTGCCAAGCAAGCTGGTTGTTAAGTGAATTGCAGCTGATTTCACAACCTATTTTGCCACAGTTGTTGTGTGAATCACTGTGGTTAGAAGTAAGTTGTGTGTTAAGCAGATCGGGCTTCCCCCCCATTAACTTTGCTTGTCCCAAGCTGGCTGGGAAAGTCACAAACTAACTCCAGCTTAGCATACAGGTAGTCCTTGACTTATAACCACAATTGAGCCCAAAATGTATGTTGCTGAGACATTTGTTAAGTGAGTTTTACCCCATTTTACGACCTTTCTTGCCACAGTTGTTAAGTGAATCACTGCAGTTGTTAAGTGAATCTGGCTTCCCCATTATCTTTGCTCATCAAAAAATGATGACATGCCTTTGGGATGCTGCAACCAACATAAATATGAACCAGTTGCCAAAAGTCCAAATTTTGATCACGTGACCATGGTCATAGTGGTGGAAAAACAGTCATAAGTCACTTTTTTCCAGTGCCGTTGTAACTCCGAACAGTCATTAAACAAACATGTCAGGATTCCAGCAATTGCTCTAATTAAATCATGATTCTCAAGCCAAACTTCAAAAACTTCAAAGGATTTATTATGAGACGACATACTGGCACTGCCCTGTATGAAGCCAACTCTGGCACACATAATTTACAGTCATCTATGAACCTGTTTCCCCCCTCCCCTCTGGGTGTCTCATAAACCAGATTCTCCAATTGAGCACATTCACAGGCTGAGTGTCATCAATCACATTCTCCAATTAAATACATTCGCAGGCAAAAACTTTGGTATTTTGGTTACAATCTTTTAAAGATAAGAGTTGGAATGTACTTTAGCTTTCAAACTGCTCTTCCAGATTTCCTTCCTCCCCCCCTTCCTTATGGCAACTACTAAAACAGGCATAGGAATGTTTTATGAGTTGACAAAACAATTGTAAGACCCCCTATATTTGCCTTAATGTATCTACCATGTCTTTATTGAAATGTATTGTCTAAACACAAGTAATGAATTGGTTCACACTTTGCACTAAACTATGGTTTGCCTATCCCTTGTTTATTGCATCATCTGTTCATTGTGGCTTTATACAATCTACTAGCACTGCCACAAGCCACGTTTCCAAACTTTACACAATAAGCTAAGACCCAAGCCAACATATTATGGCTTAGTGTGTTGTGTTAACCAGCTCCTACAAGAAATCAGTCCCTATTTTGGCCATCACTGCTGATGTGTTCTAATGACGCATGCGAAAAAGACTTTCATATGATTCTTCTTGTGATGGGATAGAAAACTCAGCTTTGAATAGTCTTATGTAAAGACAGTCCCATTTTACAAAAAAACAAAAAACGAAAAACCAAGACCCAAATCCTGATTGACAGATTTGGATCCCTGTTGCTGAAAACTCCCAAGATAATTTGGCCTGACCCTTGACCTTCAAGTGTGTTCATCCTTCTGTCTTTTCACTGATGCAAGGAGTAGGTTAGATCAGGGGCCTTCAAACTTGACAGCTTTAAGACTTGTGGACTTCAACTCCCAGAATTCCTCCTCCAGTCATGTTAGCTCAGAAATTCTGGGAGTTAAACTCCACAAGTTTTAAACCTGCCAAATTTGAAAATCCTTGGGTTAGATCATAGTTTCTCAACCTCAATCCAACTTTAAGATGGGTGGACTTCAACTCCCAGAATTCCTCCTCCAGTCATGTTAGCTCAGGAATTCTGGGAGTTGAAATCCACAAGTCTTCAAACTTGCCAAGTTTGAAAACCCTTGGGTTAGATCATAGTTTCTCAACCTCAATCCAACTTTAAAATGGGTGGACTTCAATTCCCAGAGTTCCACGCTGGCCATCTTAAAGTTGCCAAGGTTGAGAAGCACTGTGTTAGATGGCAATTTTAGGGCACTTATTTCCAGCTTAGTTACTGTTCCCTTCTACTGTTACCCAGAGAGGAATATAAAATGGTATAGTTTTGATCTCCCCGTGGTCTCTATTCTGGCTTACAGCTGGAGGATCATGTCTTCAGGAAGGGCATTTACTCAGTGAGTTGTGGTAATGAGCTATATTTTGACAGATGAACAGACCCACAGATTTAGCTATCTGTCAGAAATGGCACTCTGTTTATCCACCACCTCTCCCAACCTAGAAGTCAGCTGTCTGGGCTTGGAGAGGAGACCCCCTACCCATCAGGTCTACAAGCCAATTCCTGGAGACCAGTGGTGGGGTTCAAACATTTTTACTACAGGTTCTGTGGGTGTGGCTTGGTGAGCGTGGCTTGGTGGGCATGGCAGGGGAAGGATACTGCAAAATCTCCATTTCCATCCCACTCCATTGGAAGGTTACTGCAAAATCCCATTCCCTCCGCACCGCACTAACCTGCTTTCCAGCTCCGTTCTCCTGTGCAGGGCAACCAAACAAATCAGCTGGGACTCAATGGGAGGCAGAGAAGAGATGGGGGCAGGGCCAGTCAGAGGTGGGATTTGCTGGTTCTCCAAACTACTCAAAATTTCCACTGCCGGCCCTCCAGACCTGGACAGAACCTGCTGAATACCCATCTTTGCTGGAGACCCTGATCAACTCAAAAACAACTAATAGAGAAAACCACAGCTCATAGGAAGGAGAGCAGTGGTGGGATTCTACCGGTTCAGCCTGGTTCAGCCGAACTGGTAGCTCCAAAGATCACCTGCGAGTGAACCGTTTCGCTCTGATGATCTGCTGTTGGGCCCGCCTGCCCGCCTGCCCAGGCTCCCACACTGACCTTTGTTTCCAGATTTTGAAGCACAGCTGCTTTGTGTGGCACAGCAGATGGCCACACGCCAGCTGTTGAACACACAGGGAGAGTGCAGGATTGCAGGAGGGGAGTCGGAAAGCCTCTGCGCCTGCACAAAGTGTGCGTTTGGCATGCGCTCAAAGCCAGGCCCACCGAACTGGTGGTAAACTACTTTGAAACCCACCACTGAAGGAGACAGATGATTGAGTTATGAAGAATATATGAAGAACAACTGCAGGAGTTGGGTATGTCTAGTTTGATGAAAAAAAGGTCTAGGGGTTACATGATAGCAGTGTTCCGGTATCTGAGAGGTTGCCACAAAGAAGAGGGGGTCAACTAGATACAATTAATCAGAGTTGGAAGGTACCTTTGTAGGTCATCTAGACCAACCCCCCACGTAAACAGGAGACCCTACACCATTTCTGACAAATGGCAGTCCAATCTCTTCTTGAAAGTCTCAAGTGATGATGCTCCCACAACTTCCAAGGGCAACTTCTGTTCCATTGGTTGATTGTTCTCACTGTCAGAAAGTTTCTCCTTATTTCCAGGTTAAATCTCTCCTTGTTCAGTTTCCATCCATTATTCCTTGTCTGGCCTTTGGGTGCTTTAGAAAATAGCTTGACCCCCTCCTCTCTGTGGCAGCCCCTCAAATATTAGAAGACTGCTATCCTGTCTCCCCTGGTCCTTCTCTTCACTAGACCAGCCATGCCCAGTTCCTGTAACCGTTCTTCATATGATTTAGTCTCCAGTCCCCTAATCATCCTGGTTGCTCTTCTCTGCACTTTTTCTAGAGTCTCCACATCTTTTTTATAGTGTGGTGACCAAAACTGGATGCAGTACTCTAGGTGTGGTCTTACTAAGGCTTTATAGAGTGATATTAGTACCTCACTTCATCTTGATTGTATCCCTCTGTTAATGCAATTTAGGATTGGCAACTTTAAGACTGGTGGACTTCAACTCCCATAATTTCCCAGGAACACCCCTGCCCTAAAGGATGGAGCCAGAAGGGACCGTGTTTTCACATCAACTTAATGTAGCTGATACATACATTTTGACAAAATGATTAGTAAATTGCATCGTACCCACAGGAACACTGCTACAGCTTGTTGGTGGTCAACCATTCAAGGTAGCTCAGATTAGGGAACCAAAGTCATGCTAATCTTCCTTTTATTATAGCAATACCACCTAGACTTCTATAAGGCCCCATTATCAGGTTATCAATCACTGGAAGCTTTCAAAAAGAGACTGGACAACCATTTGTCTGGAATGGTATAGGGTCTCCTGCTCATGCAGAGGGTTGGACTAGAAGACCTCTAAGGTCCCTTCCAACTCTGTTATTCTATATTCTATGCTCTATGTTTTAGATCAATCAGGACACTGCTTGGGCTAATCTAGTCTCCCTCTGATCCCTCCAAACTCTGTGGGCCTCGTGTGTGTGTGTGTGTGTGTGTGTGTGTATGTGTGTGTGTGTGTTCTCCTAAAACAGGGACACGGTGGCTCAGTGGCTAAGACGCTGAGCTTGTCGATCAGAAAGGTCAGCAATTCAGCGGTTCGAATCCCTAGTGCCGCGTAACGGAGTGAGCTCCCATTACTTGTCCCAGCTTCTGCCAACCTAGCAGTTCGAAAGCATGTAAAAAAAATGCAAGTAGCAAAATAGGGACCACATTTGGTGGGAAGGGAACAGTGTTCCATGCGCCTTCG